TAATAATAATAATAATAATAATAATAATAGCATTTCGTAAGGCATTACGAAGTCTCAATGCCTTTACAGGAATCCAAAACTCTACTAAATTAAAAGAAAAGAAAATAATAATAGTTAAAATACATATAAATATAAATATAATTATAAATCAATCATATTTGAAAATGCTATACAATGATAATACTAAAAGAGTGCACTGGCGCTAAGCATGATCTCGCCAAACCATGCTTATAGCGATAATACTTAGCATGCTTTGGCCTCAAAACCTTATTTAGTCACCGCGAGGATTCTTGTAAAAAGTTTTATCTCAGTTCCAGTCTTAAGCATAGTTCCTTTTAGTGTCTTTTGACTAATTTTACTTAAATCTTATCTTTTGCGATCTCCATTCTTATTTCTCTTTTTTTAAAATAGTATTTTGTATTTAGTATTACGCATTTCAGCCTTTGGCAACTAGGTGGTGCTTAATAAATCATCATCGTAATCAGCGGCCTGATATCCCAGACAAAGGATCGCATCGTTTCCCGCCATCAATTACGTACCGCACCACAGCAAAGTCCAGTAATGAGCGAAGGCCATTTGATAATATTCTAAGCCAACTATTTATATGGTTGATGTTTATAGATACAACAAGTGGAAGAGTACATGGCTTATCGAAGACTTCCAGTGGATTTGAGAGAAAAATTTACTAAATATTATGAACACAGATTTCAAGGAAAAATGTTCGACGAGGAAAAGATCTTGCATGAAATATCAAGGCCACTTAGGCAGGTAGGTCTATTGGCCAATCTCAACATGAATTGAATGGTAAAGGAAAAAAAATCTCGTCAATACAGAGCAATGTCGTCAATCGTCATCAAATACCATACAGGCACGACGAAACAGATTCCAAGTACCATAGGGAGGGTACACGATCAAATACTAATGTAGACCCCTACAGACCCCAAGCACCCTAGGGAGGGTACACTATCAAATACTAATGTAGACCCCTACAGACCCCAAGTACCCTTGGGAGGGTACACTATCAAATACTAATGTAGACCCCTACAGATCCCAAGCACCCTAGGGAGGGTACACCTATCAAATACTAATGCAGACCCCTACAGATTCCAAGTACCCTTCGGAGGGTACACGATCAAATACTAATGCAGACCCCTACAGATCCCAAGTATCCTTGGGAGGGTGCACGATCAAATACTAATGCGCGCAGACACCTACAGGTCCCAAGTACCCTTGGGAGGGTACACGATCAAATACTAATGCAGACACCTACAGATTCCAAGTACCCTTGGGAGGGTACACGATCAAATACTAATGCAGACTCCTACAGATTCCAAGTACCCTTGGGAAGGTACACGATCATATACTTATGCAGACCCCTACATATCCCAAGTTTCCCTTGGGAGGTACATGATTTTCAATTACTTTACCCTTACCTTTTGTTAAACGCAGAAAGTCATAAACTACAACTGCAGGAATCTCGTTCGATCAGTTCCGTTTTTCGTGGACGCAGACGCGGACTTTGTTTCTGCTATCATCACTAACTTAAAGTTTGAAGTTTACCTGGAAGGAGATGAGATCATCAGAGAAGGTGAACTAGGAACCGAGATGTATTTCTTGAAAGAAGGAATTGTGGATGTTTTTGTTGGTAAAAACAAAGTCAACGAACTGACAGACGGTTCTTATTTTGGAGGTAACAAGTACAACTTATTTTTAAAATATTAGCAACAGGTTCTGGCCCCTTCGACCTTTTGAAACCTCTATACACACTACCGGCCCTGTTACGACCCAAGCAATACCAGAATGATACTGTATATCACTTGTAAACTTGCAAGTCTAATTGCGGCTAATTATATATTATTAATCTAACTGGTCCATTCGTGGGATTTATGTACTGAGGATGTAAAATGAAGGTTGGGACACAAGTACAAGTACAATTACAATAGTCCCCTTTACAGTTCCCTGCGCCATCTTGAAAGGTAGCAGTGTCTTTTCATCGAAGCGAGACGAACGGTGAGCTTGCAATGATAGACACATGTAAATATTTGTCTAAGGTGTTAAGAAAGGTCTCACCGTTCGTCTCGCTTCGATGCAAAGTCACAGCTACCTTTCAAGATGACACAGGAAACTGTGAAGGGGACTATTATGTACATCGCATCTTATATTGTGTTAACTTGATTCCTCGTTACAGAAATAAGTGTATTAACAAACGCAAAGCGAACAGCTAGCGTAGTAGCACAGACTGTATGTGACGTGTTTGTTTTACATGCTGAAGACTTCAGGGATGTGGTAGACGAGTTTCCAGAGATGAGGACCATTATGGAGATAGTAGCAGAGGAACGCCTGAATAAAATGGGCAAGCCAGTTGATCTATCCACGGTGAATGTCAATTCATCAGATGCCGAGGCTAAAGTATCATTTCAACGGGAAAACCACACATGCGACCGAGGCATGAAATAATAATTTGCAACATCACTGTAAATCTCTTAAAATGAATTACTATATTAGCTAGTTCAGATTACTGGGGAAAGTGTTAGACAACGAGAATACTAGCTGCGTGTGAGCCTCGAAATAGCAGAGGACATTTTGTAATATAAATAAATCCATGTTTTTTGTCAACGACATTTTATTTGATTGACATATTTTTTAAATTCTTGATCTATGATACATGTAGCAATGAACAACTGGAAAAAACAATAAACAGTGATTAGTATATTATAGTTTGCCATCATTCTTATTACGCTGTTCCATACGAACATGGTATACAGCGGTACAATCAAAGCTATGCGCGCGCAACCTAATACGTCTGTGCATGCTTATTTTCTTGGACAGCACCAAAATACAATTAAGATGTCATTATTTATCTATTGTTAAGATCTTTTACAAAATAAACTACCTCATCAATGGTTTAAACTTTAACATGACTTCACGTTAGTAGTTGCGCGCGCAGAAGTGTGTATGAGCATGCAGGAATACCATAACCTCATGTCTCAGTGCTGACCAGGAGCAACGCGGGCTCTACGAACGACGATGTGCGCTTCTTAGTCATGAAATGAAGAGAAAAGTAAAAAAATTGCAATACCTTATCGCTAGCGATAGGTCATGCAGTGGAACTATTATGATTATTCTTATACAAGTATACGTATACATCAGTGATGAAGGTAACTCTCTGTCAAGGACATGCGCAATAGTAGTTAATTATCACGCTTGGTAGGAAATGACTGAAATAGTGACTGGGAAATGGAAAATCCGGTTGTGGATGTATTTCATTTAGTCTTGTTATAATAAGTAAGGGAAAAGTGTCAGCATCTCGACATGTCATATCGGATGACACAATGCCGAGTAATGATTCTGGCTTTAGCAATGAGAACAAAGCGATCTAGTATCTAAGCAATTCAAAAAATTAAAATTTAAAGAAAAATCCATAATAATAAATAGCATAAAATAAAGTAAAAATTCAAAATAATTTTTAAAATGTGTGTTTAATACGGCAAGTCAGAGTTTGAATGTAAGACTGTCTATTGCCGAAGTTAAACTTGATCATGGACAGCTAGTTTGCATGTGATAAATTTTGAGGCCGTAAAACTTGTCATATTTTACTAAAGAAGTAATCAATATTGTACGAGTCACTGTATAAATGAGTTTGTTCAATATACTGTAGCGTCCAATCAGTATCCGCTGACTCGCCAAGTTAATTCACCTGATCAAAGGTTTGCCCCGATAGTTAGACTAATCCTATCGAATAACATCTATATACGACACAGTTCGTTCGTGGTGGATAGCATCAAACCAGATGCGGAAAAACAAGTCTAATGTAATGAAGAAATGATTATCAAAACAGAGAACATTGCAAGAATAATCAGAGCGGTAAGCTAAATCAATCATCAATCACTTCAAATCTCTTGCTCTGACTGTTTTCTCGATCAGTCCATCCCGCCGAAGTGGTGAAAGGGAGAGTCAAGGTGAGATATAATATCAAAGTAAGTATAGCTATTACACTGAAACTTTACGACAATTAAGAAAATCCTTATCTCAATGGTTGTGTTCTAACAAGTGAAGGATCCGAACACTTTTGTTTTCTCTCTCATCGCAGCGAAGTTTTCGCATTAACCGACAAACAAAACTTAAATATGCGGCCTTTCTTAATTTCTTTTATCTTTCGAATAAAACCGACCTGTTATTTACCTAATTGAAGAACTCTAATAGCAAATGGTTTGCTGCTGACTGGCTAGTTACTTTGTTGTTTTTTGTTTTTTTTGTTTTTACGGCAACTGAAATGTAATGATCGAAGTTAGTGCACTCATGATCCTAAATGGGACAGAACACAAAAGTATATGTTGGAAAAGAAAAACATGAACAAAAAGTAATTTAACAATCAAGTTTTTTGAATTTCTGTATCTTAATGCGGGGGCCGTAGATGAAAAATAATACTGATGACATGATGAGATCAGCGGTACTATCAGTTTCAATAATCACGGGCAGGTGTTTGTAGGATAAAAACTAATTTATCAACCTTCTAGACGAGCTATAGGAAAATCTTGGGGCTAAGAAGCTAGACGATCAATGATCCACAAAGGTACGTAGTTGAAATCACTAAAGAATAATGTCACTTTTTTGGATGGTTTTATTTTCAGCCTGTAACGAAGAGATGTCTGCAGGATATAACATGAAGTAGTTCAAACAAAGCAAGGGATTACAAACCGGGTCTGACATCACCGAAATTCGACTATTTTGGAAGATTTCATTTTCCGCCTTGAAAAGATATCTACAGCAAATATCAAGAAGTAGTTCCAACTAGTCACACATTCCCACAATGAATGGGACGACAGAACAACCGAACGCCCTACAGATTATCTCTGTTGCGCAACTGGTATTTTACATCATGGTTTTTGTGGTGGGTGGGGTCGGGAACGGTTTGGTTCTTTTGATCATCAAGACAAAAAAACCTACACGAAAAACCAACGACATTTTCATCCTTAATCTTGCACTTGGCGACATACTAGTGTTGTTCGTTAGCATCCCCGTAGACCTTTACAACAAGGTGTATTCTATGTCGTCTGGGATACTTCATTGTAAGTTTCTATGGCCTCTCATGACATCAGGATTATTTACAAGTGTATTTACACTGACTTGTATGGCCATAGAAAGATCCCGTGTTATATGTAGACCAACAGCATCCAAACTAGAAGGCAGACGACTTTTGGCTGTCATTATCATGATATGGGTTGCGGCTGTGCTATGTGTATTACCGCTGGTCATTGTAGCTGCTCCTGATCCAATGAGCGACTCCTGCCAGGAAAAGTGGCCGAGTGACAATATGAGAAAGGTTTATACAGCTTTATTAGTTGCCCTCCAGTACATCCTGCCACTTACAATTATATCCATTGCCTACTCAATGATATCTTATAGACTCAAAGTCAGTAAACGATTTAGAATAAGCAACATGGCTAACATTTCTTCAAGTCATCTCCAACGACATTGCATTGAAAACTCGAAAATAAACAAAAACCTAAGAACAATAGTCATTTTGTTTGCTATTTTCATGCTTCCAAAGCATATTGCATGGCTTTGGTTGGACTTTGGGCAGGGTGACCGTTATCAACACTTTGGGCAGGTGCTAATATTTGCCGAGGTTTTCCTATACATTCACAGTTCTTGTAATCCTTTAGTCTATGGAACGATTATGAAAGATTACCGAGCTGGTTTTAAGCAGTACTTTAAAAAACTATTTACAATATGCTGCCACTGCTCGCTCAACAAAACCTCTCCAGCAGAAGACAAAGCTACCAGAAGAAGACAAGACACCATACCACACCTCTCTCCGCAGTCTCATTTACAGATGTCTATCGCTGAAGGCCAGGACTTCAGACAACAAGACACCATACCACACCTCTCTCCACAGTCTCATTTACAGATGTCTATAGCTGAAGGCCAGGACTTCGGACAACAAGACACCTTTCCACATCTCTCTCCACAGTCTCAGGAAACCGTGGATATATGATGAATGAACAAGTGATAAAAAAAAGCATGCGACTTGAAACCACAAATATTTTATTGTATACAGGCAAACACAGGAATTCCAAGTAAAATGAGATAACAAATAATATAAGGTGCAGTCGTTATTTCTAAACAGAATTACAATGGGATAAAATTCATTATTGTGTGAGAAAATTAAGTTATACCCTGATTCACCATTGAACCAGAGGTATTTGTAATGCAAATAAAGTACAATACCATAGAACCCTGGTTATGAGCCCTCCCCTAATAATAAGCCCACCCATCTGCTAACAGAAATTTCCTCCAAATTGTAAGCCTCTTGGTCATAAGCCCCCCCCCCTCCCACCTCACATAATTGAAGGAGTACCACCATGCATGAAGCCCTGTAGCATATTGACAGTCCGTTCAGATTTGATTCTGTTTTTTTTAAGCACATTTGCATGTCACAGCATTTACAGTGATTTTGGCATGAATACTGTTGTTCAATTGCCCTATTTCACTATGACGTCACATCAAAACAATTTATTGTTTAAACGCAAAGGATCATGGTCGTCGGAGGGGGTCAAATCAACGCAAATTCACCAAAAATTGTTCTAAAACCCGTATCAATCCAGGAAGAGGAGTAGAATAACCAGCAAACGCTCAAAATATTTTTTAGTACATATTAACACATATCATATCTGAAAACCAGGCCATTTTAGATTAAACTGTCTCGCTTGAATTTTCTATTGGATTTGGCGATTCTATCCCCCACATAAACAAGCAGTGACCTCATAGTGAAATAGGGCAATTGCAATGGATATATGTTTTGTTTAATAGTGCTAGTTGTGGTGACATAAGCTAACGCCATTACTATGCCAACCAGATATCTATTTGCATAATTGAAGGAGTACCATTTGGCAAGAACTATTGTGATAATGGTTGGCAAACTACAGGCGTTTTTCCTGGTTATAAACTCTAACCTGAAATTGAGCACACTCAAAAACCCCTATGAAGTTATATAATCCCAGGTGTCACGACCTGTCTGTTACATGTGTAGCATAATTCAATTACTAGTTGTCGCACTATTCTGAGTATGAGTAATTAAAGTAGAAAAAGTCTTTCACTGAAACCGAATGAAAAGAAAAGAAAAGGAGATACTCAGAATAAACGAAAAACTATAAAATATTAATAAGCTTATTATCTTTGAAGATAGTTACGAGTTACTACTCTAAATATAGTGTCCATAACTCCCGAGGGGGGGGGGGGGGGTACTCCCATACATGGACTATGCGGGGATGATCCGTTGAACAGGGTATGGTTTTTCGAGCTTAGTGTCATAAACAGGGTATGCAATTTCACTCAAATTCCAAGTTCTTCCCGAGTTTCCTGTCATATCCAGGATTTCTGCTTTCTTATTGACCGAAACTGGTTATTATGGTCGTGAACTCAGTGCAATTAGTTATATCTTTTGTCATAAACAGGGTCCACAAATTTGTTTTTTAAAAATCATAAACAGGGTACCCCTTTCAAAATCACAGCGGAACACCCCTACCCAAATTCTGGCGGAGTACCCCCCCCCCCTCCCCCTCCCGGGTTCAAAACACACCACCAAAACAGGGTTATACACAGGTAGCCCAAGCTCTGTTTTTATTAGTGTAAAGTTTTTTAAAACTTTTAAAAAAGCCGTCTAAATGAAGAGAAAAATATTGAAATGCCTTAGCTCGAGTTGTTTAATCGATTGCTTTTGGTGTTTTTTAACAAATAATTTGTTCTTTGATGAACCAAGAAGTGACGCACGATCTGGGAGTACAAAAACCGCTTGGGTTGTCTGTGTTAACCACAGTGCCTTGCAGGTTTGATAAACAAGATGGCGTCCAGTCAAGTCACCAAGACTGTTGGTCGAGCTGTTGTAAAACCACTTCTTTCTACAACCCCTGGTGAAGCTAGGAAAAGAGTTTTTAATCTTTACAGAGCATGGTGGAGAGAGGTACTATATTTAATAGATCTTAAGCATTCATTTTACTCCAATAATACTATTTAGCTCGGTTGTTTGTTGTCCCAGTTGTTGTTTTAATTCCGAGGTCTTCCTCAACCCATTCAATTAAAAAAATGTACTTAAAGCCCTTAAAGATAGTTCTGGGCTATTTTATTTACTCTCCATTGGAACCTACAAATAAATAAATGTGTTGCCTTTTTCAGATTCCTCATGCCGTGCAAGCATTTGCATTGGATATCACAGTCAAATCAGGCCGTAAAAAGGTCCGAGAGGAATTCATGAAAAACGCTCATGTGAGGGATCTACGAGTGATAGATATGTTGATTATAAAGGTACACCATACCGCGTAGTATATTGAATCATCCACAGCAATAACTGATACCATCTAGATACAGCGAAGATTTTGCATTGAATTCCATTCCAAACGCTCTTATTGTTTGGTGGGAGTTTGTGTCCTCATTTGATTGATTCAGACTAGAAATCACTGAGAGCCATGCCCATTTTCTGTTCATAAACACATCTTGTATCAGTAAATAAGGGTTGCAGTGGTTGTAATACCCGGGGGGAGGGGTACTCCGCCAGAATTTGGGTAGGGGTGTTCCGCTGGGATTCTGAAAGGGGTACCCTGTTTATGACAAAAAAACCCTCAAATTTCTAGACCCTGTTTATGATATAAGATATAATTTATTGCACTGAGTTCCTGTTTCAATTATCATGTCACCTGGCGTTTTTTTTTTTTTGACGACCATAAAAACCAGTTTCGGTCAATATGAAAGTAGAAACCCTGAATATGACAGGAAACTCAGGAAGAACTTGGAACTCGAGTGAAATTGCATATCCTGTTTATGACAAGAAGCTTGAAAAAACCATACCCTGTTCAGCGGATCATCCCCGTATAGTCCATATATGGGAGTACCCCCCGGATGGGAGTACCCCCCGGGAGTAATACACATTCCCCTTTGCATAAAACATGTCTTAGATATCTTTCTCCAGGGTTTTACTAGTAACAGTTTTGAGATATCCTGGCCAGCCCAATTCCTTGTTATCTTGATGTAAAATGCTAAACTCCCACATAACCTGTTCCCCTCCTGGGCCCGTTTGTACAAAGCCTGGATAGCCCTCTCTGACAGATAAATCTTATCCAGTGGATAAATTTATTGGATAACAGCATCGACTTATCCACTGGATAAGGAATTATCCACCAGATAGGGATATCCACCCTTTGTACTACTGGGCCAGGTGTAGAATTGGGTACTAGATAGTTGTTGGGTATTCCATATTATAAAATAACTGTTATAAATCTTGCATTCTGATTGGTTGGGAGCGCATGCTTTATGAGAGCACATAGCATGCACACGCTCTTTGCATTTTATAAAAGAAATAAAAAACTTGCTTGCTGTACCGTGTGGAGTTATAAAGCACTTGGGGATTGGCAGAACACCAGTGGCATATCTAGGGGTGGGTTTTGGGGGTTGCAACCCCCCCTATGAGAGCCATCGTGATTTATTATTACTATTATTATTATTTTCATGGCAACACCAACAGCATCGCGAGTTTTATTAAAACAGGGGTGCCGAACACATTTTGCTCGCTTTTTTTTCTATATGCAGCGTGTGGGATCTGAAACAACCATGCTCGCCTGCAGCAAATAATCATTTTCATAAGACCTACTTCCGTTTGGGAATCCTGTGCTACTTTCCCGCCAAACAAGTACCTCAATCAATGCTACAACCCCCCCCTCCCCCTTTGAAAAAATCCTGGATCCGCCCCTGAACACTTGAGAAGTGTCAAGAAGCACTATGCTACACGTCATGCTTCTCCTAACACTTATCTCATGTTCTGCCAATCACTGCATGCTTTATAACTGCACACAGCACGCATGCACGTTTTCTATTTCTTCATGATTCTGGGAAAGGAAAGTACCTGTGATGAAAAAGCATTTCATCCAAGGTGGGAAAAGTTACTTTTTACTTTGAAAAGTCTAGAATGGTGTAAATTGCAAGATGACTCATGTGGTTACTGTTTTAGGGCAAGATGGAACTGGAGGAAACACACAATATCTGGAAGCAGAGAACACATGTCATGCGCTATTTCAAGGAGTCAGAAACTCCCAAGAAAACAGCATTCTTGGATCGATTTTATGATGGCTATGATTAACCATCATCATGACATGACATATAGTGATTAATTGTTATGGAAGGTTCATTATCGTCATCATCACTTAACTGGACATGTACAGGCAGTGTTACATTATTTACTAGTAATTCTTAAATAAAACAACTTTATTAGTTACAGCGTTATGAAATACTTTTTTTCTTGTGAACAGTTGAGTAAATATGAAAGTATCATGCTTTGACCAAAGATTGGTTGCTATAGTAATAGCAATATTTTGGAATGTTAGCTCATCAAATCATTCCAGGTTGTGGTCTGCCAGAGTTTTTGGTTAAACTGGTTTAATTCCTATAAAATAAAGTGAAGATAAAAAGAAGTATGACCTCGAATGGAATGAGTTTCGTGATATTTATAAATATGTACTTTAGTAAAACTGTCAGACCGACATGGTTTAGAGTGAAGTCATTAAACCCGTGAAATAGGTATTTGACTAACACACAGTAGACCCTAGTCCATTGGTTTCCTTTGTGTCTATTTGACTATTACGCGTTGACTAATAATTTTTGTTTCACGGGTTAAATGCCTTCACTCTATGTACTTTAGTAAATGATCAAAGTTCATGACCTGAACATGAAATGTGTTGCCTCGATCTTCTGATTACCGTCTGCTTGTACGTAATATCCAAACTTTTTAAAGCGACTCGACTATTGTTCCAAGTCTTAAGAAAATTCTTTGTAGTGCTCCTATCGTTTTCGGAAAAATCATCCGGTTTCAGATATACAAAGAGCTTAAAGTGTTACTCTGACGAAAATCGCTCAAACTTGGATTCAGCTGAAACTTGCTAAGAATACTCTTTAAAGGTCCAATAATCACTGTATGAAGTGTTTTCTCGATATTCAGGACGAAAGTATGATATTTTTACGACTATTTTTTAGAGTCTGTGACGTCATTCACTCAACATCGAACATCGCTCCATACATTTCTTTGTAGTTTATGATCAAAATATCAGTAGTAAAGGGAGAAAGAAATACCCAAACACCCCAAAATATAAATTATAGTCACAAGTAATGTGAAATAAGCACATTAGCCACCCTTTGGGCTTCATAGGAAAAAAATAAATTAAGGATTTATATACAAAGAAATATATGTAGCAATGTTTGATGTTGAGTATATGACGTCACAGACTCCAAAAAATAATCGTAAAAATATCATACTTTCGTCCTGAATATCTAGAAAACACTTCATACAGTGATTATTGGACCTCTAAAGAGTATTCTTAGGAAGTTTCAGCTGAATCCAAGTTTGAGCGATTTTCGTCAGAGTAGCACTTTAAAACAAAACCATCAGGAGATGGTTAATCAAGGCTGGCTCTTACAGCAGCGCGCCATCGATGTTCGTGTTTGCAATCAGTAGCCTTGGTGTACAAAGTACCCATTAACAACCATTCCTTATTATCCGCAGTGTTCATCAACTGGCTAGGGCAAAGAATCAAGTCAAATGTCTGTGTTTAAATCAGCCAGTCCTCTAAGAAATATCCCCGATATTCGAATGGATTCTTCTTTGATTACAACTACTTGTTTCACTTGGATGTCAGTGTGTTTGAGAGTCACCGATCTGGTACGTAAATTACGCTGATTTGTTCTAATGTTTCCCGCTAAACTAAACCTGCGCTGACGAAATTCTACGTTGGCAGAAAGTTGTGCGAGTTCGTCTTGTCGTGTGCCAGGCCGTGTGCTTTGTTTATCCAAGACCGAATCAAGTTCAGTCACCTTTACCATCATACAATATCTACTGTCGAATCTTGTGCCATCAGATGTTAAAAACTTTGGTACGAGATGAACTTTAACAACTTTGTTTACAGGAAGGATGGTTGGTGGTATTTCTGAGCTATTCTTGTTACCCATTTCTATCTTGTTGTGCGTAGTAATATTATTACTAACATCACCTGGCAAGATCAAGTTACAGGCTACTGGTTTTAGTGATAACCGGTATGCTTCACTGAACACTTTGTATTGTTTCCTTTGAAATATCCCGATAGATATCATAATCCCCTATGAACAACAACCCCTGGGAGGGGGGAGGGTACTCCAATATGTGGACACGGGGATGATCCGCT